AATAAAGGGGCAAAGTGTTTATTTAATGAGTTCAACGCAGAGGCAAAGCACAATTAAAAGTAAAGTCCGAATACGTGCAGATTAGTTTAAGGGCGAGTTAAGGTCTCCTGACTTGTTGAGGCATTCATTACTAATCGTCCATGCAGGCGTATGATGCGGGACTTAAACTCATGGGTGGTCAAATGCGTTGGGTACTGCTTAGGCTATTAACTCTAAAAGCACTTGAGACTTGAGAGTCAGGAATTAATTACTACGAGCCTGGGCATCATTTTCATTTCCAGTTCTACCCCATATACTAATAATTTAGGTCAACTCCATCCATATATAAGTTGAACAAAAATTTCGCTGCCCATACTATACTCTTGGGTTGGTTGGATGTCATCGACCCGTGTAAAACGTTTTCAGCTTCGTTAATGTACCTGACTGACTGACTGTTAATATTGCGGCTGACATTGGATTAATTAATTACTTGTAGGAATTTGTCAGTATCGTAGAGTCCCAATGGTCAAAGCAAAGTCTTTCCAAGCTCCTAGTATGATCTACAGTGTGATGCGGCTTTGACGAGGAAAACCATGCATTCGTCAAACGGAGGACAGCAAAATTCTAGTCGCAATAAATAAAAAGAAAAAATAACAATTGACTTCCAAATTGGAAGAATGGAGCGAATTTCCATGATCCTACCCCTAACGAATAACGATGCGTCGGTCTTTGCTAATTTATTCAAAAAGACTACACTATTATGATGGATATAGGTAAGCGGTAAATCCCGCGTAAGATTTGATTAATATTTCTTCTTTTTTTTTATAATAACTATAATATTTTTATAAATTAATCTATCATAATCTATATGAAGTGGAGCCTAGAGAGACTGTATATAATGATTAATAGATATAAGAATTTGACTAGATAAAAAAAGTATTTTGACATCTTTTTAAAATTTTTTTTTACGGTAGGTGAAGTTCAAAGAAAAACTGTAGGTGAAGTTCAAATTTTCGATCTACAGTTCGAAGAGGGGGTGCCACTCGTGAAGATTTGATTAGTATTCACTGCTGAGATCTCATCTCGATGAGTTCGTTGGCTTTTAAAACTGGACAAACAAACCAGCAGCGGCGGCAGATGATTTGTTGTTGCTACTACTGCCTCGGCCGGCGGAATAAGCTAAAAACGATAAAGCACCATGAATTTTGAATTCAATCAGGTACCTATTTGCTTCTGGCGTTAAATCCTACGGGAATAACTGAATCCAGGTGATATACCGCCACTTTCAAGCTCAGGCGTGTCATCACATCATGGCTTTATTCTTCTTTATCGATAGACTGGGACCACGCTATTTTTTTATATATTACTAGATCATTTTGTGTATTAAAATTCAAGAGAAGGAATAATTTTTTATAAAAATTCAAAAATACACGTTATCAAGTAAAAAGAAAAAAAACTTCTATAAGTATCAAGTCCAGATAATATAATTAAACACATATGTTGAAGTATTTTTTGATTAGTCACAACCGTAATTTTAAAGAAGTATTAAAAAGTCTTTTTCTTGAACTGTGACGGTCTCTTTTGCAAAAGACTGCTCCAAAACTCGAAATTACTATTAATGACTTATTCGTAACAGGAATAAAATTTATTATTCTGCAAATATATTATCAAAATATAGAGGGAATATAAGTCATTTTAAAACTCTATCTAAGATAGTAAAACACGCTGCCGGGCTTGGAAGTTGGAACCGCAACGCGTGCAAATACTGCTGTAGACGAGCGTGAACTTCTCCTGCTCCCTCAGACCACCGAGAATTGACCAGCGGAGAAACGCAGGGATGGAAGACCGGGAGAATGAGGATGAATCATGACAGGAGTGAGAGAAGACGTATGTTTGTTAGTAGTTACTGGGGGCCCACAGGCCGAATCTCGTCCTTTTACCATTTCCGATCATCCTACGCTGTCCCAGGGAGTCCAACTTAACGTGAACCTTCCCGTCTTGTGGGACCCTTTATAATTCTTCTTTATTAACTTTTCACTCGCCCATTTCCTCCTTTAAAATATATAAAAAAAAAACGAAACTAAAAGTTTCTTTGTTACACAGTACATACATACTTAAAGTCTTCCTTTGCATTTTGACACTTCTTTATTTAATTTTCGCTAAGAGACTGAGCACTTGTTAGATAAACTCGTATTTTATTATATATAATAAGAGTAAATTTTATATATATTGATAGTGTATACACTAATACTATCGATCGGTGTAGAAAAGATTAATATATATAATAATAGTACGAGATGAATTGAATTGAAATAATTATAAAATTTTTTAGATATATATATATATATATATATATATATATAATTAATGATGGTTAGTGCCCTCAAATTTCCGGCGACCAGAATGCCACTTCCTCCTCCAAATCAAGAATTCGAATCCACAGTTATTCCACTCAAAAAAAGGGAGAAAAGACAAGGGGGATAGAAAGAATACCAGAACCCGCCCCTTTTTCTCTCCATTCTGATATTTTGGTACTCAATTAGAAACATTTCTTAACGACAAACATTTATATTAAATTATGTAATGTGCTCGTTCACTGGTCACTAATATTTTTCTCCTGGTGGCCAATTAAAGTGTCAATCCCCACTCGCAAGACGTTAATCACCTTCTTCGCTTCATAACTTAGCAGCCTTTTACTTTTTTTATTATTAACTTTTTCCATCAATCGTCATCTTGGTTGCTGGTCTCTCGTAGCAGTCAGTACACGCTAAATTTGGCCGTCTGTTCAGCTAAGTTTCTTTCCCATACTGAGTAGTGAGTAGTATGCTAGTTCTACTATAATCTCTCACTGCAGTCTTCTGCTTATTATCCACTGAAAACGAAGGAAGCAAAGCAATAATGGTGACTCATAAATGCTACTATTTTCTTTTCCTCTCGTTGGCTTTTCCACTTCTCATGGATGTAGCCAAAGCCCAGATGCCAGGTTCCTCTCTCCCTCTCTATCTCTGTGCGTCGTTCATGGGTGATTATTATATTTGGGAGTTTGTGGAGATGCTTTTTTGTCTTGAAAATAAATAGTACTTTTCATGCTCCATTCGTCATTAATTTTTTTTATATTTTAATTCTTTTGGCAAACTAGTCGTCGTTAATGTTGTCTACTATTGACAGGATTCCTGTGTAACCATACTAATTGCTTTATTTAAAATTGAGTGGGCGTGTGCTTTCATATTAATTTTTCCGTATTAACTTTGGGATGATAATAATCATGGGTTTTGTAGTACCGAAAGGAAATTTAGAAGAAAAGAACCTAATAAAATTTCTAGAGGAACGAATGTTTTTTTTTTTTTCGGGTTGGGGGGGGGGGGTTGGAAAACATTTGGTTTTAGGTGATCGCTGTGGGCAGAGCTATTGGATAAACGCCTTTAATGATAAGTCAGAGTGAAAGTTCATATTATGTGAAATGGGTTCAATGTGATTATGTAGTCTGAAGTTTTATATAGAGGGTTTAGTGGGTGTTAAACCTGCTCCCTGAAAAAGGGGTAGATTCAGAAGCAGTTGGTGACGGTTGAATTTTTTTTTGTTTTAATCACTTCAAACCGAAGGTAAAATCGTGCAGATTGCCTGTGCTGATAACTTTCGTTCCATTCAGGGAGTAAAAGGATTAGGATATCTAATAAACACTGGTAAATGGGGATATTTAGTAGGCTTTCAAATCTTAAGTAGTTAATATGCATTTTTCATTAATTAGCGGAACTCTTGCCAATGCTGTAGTATATGGCAACTTCAGTTGGCAACGGAGTTGCAAGTTTAGTGATAGAGAGTCAAGAATCGACTTAACTTGGGCCTTCAAAAGTCCTAGTTTGTGTACGATTTTGGCTAAGCTATATGGATTTGAATTCTTGGTTGCAAGAACCATCATTCTGCAGCTAATCAACTTCTAAACTGAATCTCTTGGTGGATCTTTTGGAAGAGATGAGCAAGTTATGAAAGTTTAAGTCGTGGTTAGGAGTTTTTCCCATCTTTAGTGATCAGTCTATTACACATTTCTCTCTGAACTTATTTCAACTAGTTTACTGTCTTCTGATTTGAACGCTTAAAGTCCAAGGGCCCAAGCAAGTTGGCAGAAATATATGGTTGGGAAAAGAACTGAGAAAGACAAAGTTTATCCTTTCTGTGCTTCCTTTTGTTGCATCAGCCTAATGGATGATTCGTGAAGCACAGCTCATACACAGTTTGATCCCTCTACTGTGTCTTCAGTACTTGAATACCATAGAATCCTTGAAACTGTTTGTTCTGGCGAATTAAGGCAACAATAGCACCCTATTTTCTTCCCAAAACATCCTATTTGTGGTGAATAATAATCTGTGGGGTTTGTTGTGAAAATCTAGTTATGAAATTTACTTGATAATGTTCAGAATTACCTTCATCTTCTAGGTTTTGGTGCTTCTGCAGAAGAAATTAGCCATATATTTTATGTTATTGGAGTGCTCTTTTAAATTCTGTGATAAAAGTAGCAGTTGATCATATGGTTCTGACTGATGTGGCCCTGTGGATCAGGTTTTTTAAGTTTGGACTGCGGAGGCAAAGGTAACTTCACAGATGAACTTGGTCTCCTGTGGACTCCTGATGGTCAGATGATCAGCGGAGGAAGAGCTAATATATCTGTTGCAAATGAGCAAAGAACTCAATATATGACTTTGAGATATTTTCCTGCGGATAACAGAAAGTATTGTTACACACTTAATGTTATGAGTAGGACCAGATACCTTTTAAGAGCAAGCTTCTTGTATGGAAACTTTGACCACAACAACGTGTATCCAAAGTTTGATATTTCACTAGGGGCTACACGCTGGGCTACGGTGGTTATTTCAGATGCTAGCACTATAGAATATCAAGAGTTAATATTTCTTGCTACTGAACCCACCATTAGCGTCTGTTTGTCTAATGCTACCACTGGGCAGCCATTTATTTCGACCCTTGAGCTCCGACAATTTAATGGTTCAATTTATATGACCCAATTTGAGAACGAGTTCTTTTTAAGTGTTTCTGCAAGAATAAATTTTGGTGCTGATGGTGATACTCCAATCAGGTATGCCTCCCTCTTTTTCTGGATTTTGGTTGCAGTAGATTGAAATGTTCTTGACAGGATAGCTATGGTCTTTACTTTCTGTCAAAATTGCCATGCAATTAGAAATCGAAGTCTTTGCTCAGTACTGATACTTATATTTCCCCCTTTTACCCATCAGGTATCCTCATGATCCATTTGACAGGATATGGGAATCTGATACTGTGCGAAAAGCCAACTATCTAGTTGATGTTGCACCTGGTACTGAAAAGGTATCTACTCGAATGCCAATTTATGTTAGCTCTGGTGAAAGACCACCTGAGAAAGTGATGCAGACAGCTGTAGTTGGAAGAAATGGGTCACTCACATATCGGTTGAATCTGGACGGTTTTCCTGGTTTTGGATGGGCATTCACCTATTTTGCAGAAATTGAAGATTTGGCTCCAACTGCTACCAGAAAATTCAGGCTAGTGTTACCTGGAAATCCTGATCTCAGCAAGGCTATTGTCAATATTGAAGAGAATGCCTCGGGGAAATATCGTTTATATGAACCTGGATACTTCAACATATCGCTTCCCTTTGTCTTATCATTCAGATTTGGAAAGACGTCCGATTCTACAATGGGGCCCCTCCTGAATGCATTAGAAATAAATAAGTATCTGAAGAAAAGCGATGGCTCTTTGGATGGTAAAATGATATTTTTGAATATAATTCAATTCATTATCTCCTTTCACGGAATAGCATACAGTTTGGCCCGCGTAGCTCCATTTACAATGAGGGAGGATTCAGGGCTGTTGAAATTGCTGGCTGAGTTTAAGTCCTTCCTTTCTAGATTTATTTTGTGAAAATGCTAATAATGCAGTTTTCATACCTATCTGCATGAATTACAGGACAACTTGTTGCTGGTATAATCTCAGCTTACTCTACTGCTGATTGGGCACAAGAAGGTGGTGACCCATGCTTACCGACCACATGGTCCTGGATCCAATGTAACACAGATCCTCAGCCTAAAATAACATCCATGTACAGTTCTGTTGGTTTTCCTTTCACTTTCTGGTGTTTGTTTTTTGGACCTTGTGTTGTTGATGATATATCTTGTGCCCTGTGTTGATGATAATATTGTCAAATGTATTGTTTCATGTCATGACCTGAAACCATTCGAAAAAGTAAGTCAGTGATTTGTCAGCTAACCTTAATATCTGTTTTTGCAGCAAATTGTCGAGGAAGAACTTGACTGGAATTATCCCTTTAGAGTTAACAAAATTGAGCGGCTTAGTTGAATTGTAAGTTTCAGCTAAGAAACATTTGTATCTGTTCCTATGGTCTGTATCATCATACCTTTTAACTTCTTCTTGCAGATGGCTTGATGGAAATTCATTTTCTGGTACAATTCCTGATTTTTCTGGATGCCCAAACTTGAAGACAATGTAAATCCTCTCTCTTTTCTGTTTTTGTCAGAAGAATAGGGGTTGTAGGGAATATATTTTCTTTTTTCCCCACATGCAAGTTATTATTGTCTCATGTATAAAGGCATGCACTTGTGTTATACCAGCGCATGTGCATTTATAGTTCAAGTGGGGAAGTCATCTATAAATGGTGTTGCTTATAGTGATTTCTTCTGGTATTTCAGGAATGATGAGATTCAGTGCTTTAACTCCTGTTGGCTTAATTATTTTGCAATTTTGGAAATTTTGCAGACATCTTGAGAACAATCAGTTGACTGGAGGGCTGCCTTCCTCCTTGGGAGGTTTACCGAATTTAAGAGAACTGTAAGTTTGATACGTGTACTTTGCTTTGACTTTTCCTTTTCTTGTCTGTCAAAGGTTTATTATGTACATCATGGTCGTTTTAACTCTTTCAGGTATGTGCAGGACAATGAGTTATCTGGGACTATCCCGTCAAATCTTCTGAACAGGGGTCTGATCTTAAAGTGGGTGTTCATTTTCCCCCCTCTGTTCCTTGTTTCGCTTAGATAATTAATATCTCCACGTCTTGTGAGGCAATTGCCTTATGCAAGTGACATCTGTGGTCATCTAGTCGGTCCTTATTCAAATAAATCTCTGATTAATATGCTGTAGTAGTAATAATTAAGAACGATTACATAAATTTTGGCGTGAACATTTTCTGACCTTTTATTTACCTTCCAAGTTTTTGGTGGTGGAATTTTCATGCCTGCAAATTAGATAAGATAGAAAATGGTGCTATTAACTTATTGTAGATCAAATGCCATCATAAATCATGAATCATGACATGTTTGGAAATTGGAAGGTTAAAAGCCATTTATGCCTTTATTTTAATGTTTTAAGCTGACCAATATCCATGAACAAGTAGGCTCTTCAAGACATGCAGATGATAAAAGCCCAGCTTCATTTTAATAGACATGTTAATGGGATGATGCTAATGTTCAATGGTATATCATAGCTTTAGGTAGTGGCAATTTAATATCTTGTGTTGGATTTGACTTAAATTGAACTAGCATGATATATATCTGTATCCCCGTTTATCTGAGCATTCTGTTTCTGAAATTCTCCTTTTATATGGTCTTTGTACCGCAATGCTTTCAGCTATACTGGGAACATTGGTCTTCATAAAGGAGGCAGTGCAGGAAATCATAAGAAAATCATTATTGGATCATCAGTTGGTGCTGCAGCACTGCTGCTCGCCACTATTATCTCTTGCTTATTGATGCAGAAAGGAAATAAAAATTATG